AGGGAAAGATAGGAAACACTCACTTCCACCCTTTCTGTTTTGTGAGGCAGCTTTTTTTATAGCCATTGTGGACGTGTCCCCAAGAAGCAAAGAGCTTGGAAGGCCACTCTGTGTTTCTTCTTCCTTTTGCAGGTCAGCTTCAGCTTCTCCCCATGTTCCCCTCCAGTAAGTGGATGTTACTGGTATTTACACAAGGAACCTAAAAGTCAACAGGTTGAAATTATTGTAATGGTAGGAAAAAGGAGCCTTTGGAGTGTTTTTTTTTGTTTCAGAGCTTGGTAGATACAGGCTTTTGCCTCCTGTGCAGTGCTGTGGGGGCATGTGGAGAATCTGTCTGTGGAGGAGAACTTCAGCACCAGAGGAGGTTTCTGTCTGGGTCCCCATGCTGCTCATTTTAATGAGGCTTGCTGGCTTTTGGCAGGTTTCCGGCTGGCTGCCACTCCACACCACTGTCTCTCATTAGGTAGGATGTTTTTAGGTGCTGGATTGAATTTCCTTCCATCCCATGCAAACCTGGTGGTGGTCTGCTTTTTACATACTCCCATTTACAGAGCTAGCACCAAGCTACTAAGTTATTAAGCTGGGATTTTAATAGAAACTCTTGTGTAGGCTTAAATTGTTTCCACTCTATTTGGAGTTTCCTGCTCTGGTGGTTTTTATTTTGTCCCATGCATGAAAGCGTGGAGGGAGGAATTCACAGGAAAGCACAGAGGCAAAGAGGAAGAATTGAGCCTGAGAGCACTAGAAAGTACAGACGAAATAAAAGGTTAATTGGTGCTGTATTCAGCTCTGATGGAGGTGATAGGGGTCAAAAAATGCTTCCTAATCCTCACGACAGTTCAGTGGAAACGTGTCTGTGTGTGTGTGTTTTTCAGTGCTGTTTGTAACTTAGGCAAGAAAATATTTTATTGAGAAACCTATTTCTGTCTTGAGCTCTTCCCCAGGGCATGAAAGGGATGCTTGGCAGCAAACACAGCTCCCCCAGTGTCAAACCCCTCTGCTGCCAGTGGGGCAGCAGTGCTCAGATGGGTGGGACTTCCCTGCTCAGTGGGGGATGCCCCTTCCAGCTCTGAGCTTTTCCACCCTCTGCTGCTGACTCTGCTCCAGCCCCACACCGATGTGTCCTGGCTCAGGATTACGCTTGCCAGTGAAGCCCCACGTAAGTCAGATCTGCTCAGCACAGCCTGGGCTGTAGCTCTGCACCAATCCCTTTGTGTTGTCTCAGGTGACAGGTGTCACTGTCCTCCAGCAAACGGGTAGGCTCCATCACAGTTGAAGTGAGGGATATTGTTTGAACTTGTGCTTTCTGGTAGACCAGGAGTTCTCAGCACCAATTCCCTGAGGCTGCTTCACTGTGAGCTGTGACATGTTGGGGGTGATTAGGTGGGAGAGGTTCAGAAAAATGCTGGTAAGAGGCACCAGTGGGCTGAAACTGGTCAGCGTGTGTCCACTCCTGCCCTTCAGCCAGCAGCCACTGTGGGCATGCACCGAGCCCCAGGCCAGGGCTCTGCTTTCCATGAGGGCACTGTGGCTGCAGGATGCGTGCCCACCTCTCAGGCATACCAGTTTGAAGAGCCAGTACACTGGAATAACTGGGGTTGTCGAGCACAGCGACAGCAAGCCAGAGCAACCAAGCTTCAGGTGCACACTTGAGGGCTTGGAGCAAATCTGTTAACAGCCTCTCTGAATAGATGGTGGATCTTACAGGGTGTAAAAGAGCTGGAGCTCTCTGACTTGGCTAGTGTGTGGACAGTGCTAGCAGCTCTTGGCTGGATCCCACCTGGAGTTTGCAGGTCTGGCTGGAGAGAAAGCTGGGCTGTGAATTATGAAGGGTACCTTCGTCACTCAAGGCAGGAACAGCACTGCAGTTCCTGTCATTGTCATCATGCTCCAGTCAAGTTTGGGTACTTACCCTGTTTAATTGCGTGGCTGATGTGCTTAATGTCTTGCCTGGGGTCACTCATAACACTTCTATTTTTAGGATTCGGGGAAATTAGGGACACTAGTAATCCATTGTGGTTCTCTCAAGGCAGGAGTTTTCCAGACAATGATGATAATAGCGGCCATGGCTTAGCTGCAGAATAGCCTGGGTAAGCTGATGAAATTAGCACTGGCAATTATGCCAGAGCTAAACGCTTGCAAATGAAGATCTCCACTGAAAATACCCTGCAGGTGTAGGGGAAGCCAGAGTTCCTTGGGCTTGGATAACTTGGAGGGTGTGTGTCGTTGACTGGGAAATCTGTGGCAGTACCTGTTGGCTTTCAGCCCTGTAAATGAAGAATTTTCTGATCAGATAGTCAGTGTTTGGTTGTAGAACTGAGGTGGATGTAAGCCCTCCCTGACAGGAAGCTATGAATCATCCCATTTTGGGACAAGCTGGTTATGTACCTACAAAGGAGCTCCTTTGTGCTTGGCTGGTGTCTCCAGTTGGGCATCTAAGGTGCTTTTAGAAAAGAGAGGGCGCTGAAAGCTGGGCTAACAGCTGGGCTAACACGCCTCGCTCTGCTTGTTGTTTTTAAACAGATGGACCTCTCTGTGGAAACTCTTTATAGCTTCATGCAGGAGCGCCAGAAGAAGTATGCCAAGTATGCGGAGCAGATCCAGAAGGTCAACGAGATGTCTGCCATCCTGCGCCGCATCCAGATGGGCATCGACCAGACGGTGCCGCTGATG